GAACTGCGAGATCATGACCCAAGCTGAAGTGGGATACTCAGCCGACTGAGCCACCCAGGCACCCCCAGTGTTTATTTATTTTTGAGAGACAGGGAGAGACAGAGTGCAAGCAGGGGAGGGGCAGAGAGAGAGAGGGAGACACAGAATCCGAAGCAGGCTCCAGGATGTGAGCTTTCAGTGGGGCTCAAACTCAGGGACCATAAGATCATGACCTGAGCCGAAGGTGGATGCTTAACTGACTGAACCACTCAAACGCCCCAAGGTTGCAAGTTTTTATGAGGTCCAGCCCCTGAGACTGATTGTTCCTTATGCTTATGTACAGTAACTTTCCTTAAAGAGGTAAACTGAGGGTGCCTCTCTTTGATAATCAAAAGGCTATTGCAGATGACTCAAATTCTCTGCGTAAACAGAGGAGGATAAGGATATGTACATACACACAACGGCAATTTACATTGGAGAACAGTAGAAAAGATGACTAAACACCGAAGGCCTGCAAGGGTCATATTTCTAAAAACGAGCGGCGATGTCAAGATTCCATGTTCCAATGTCTGATCAACTACAAACAATTCACTCATTAAAAAAACAAAACAAAAAAGCTAAACTCTTGTCAAATTCTAAAACATCTTCATTTGGGTTTGTCTCATGAACAAACATGTCTTAATGAGAAGTGAATGGAAGGCGGAAAAAACCCTCAGTCACTTTTCAGTCCAGTTGAATATAAAACGCAGTGATTCTTCTTCCTGATAACCACAAACACATAAATAACAGTAAAATAGAAACTTCTAAGCAGCCGACCTCTTTACTTCATCTCGCCATCTTACAGCCAGGTTGGCTTCCCAAGTTACATCCTTAGTTTGTACTGGGGAAACATGCTTTGTTTTCTTGATGTAGCTAAGGGGACATTACGCGTGTTCAAGCAGTTCCTCTCTGGTATCAGGTAACCGCTTAGCCGGGATTTAGGTTTAGGGAAGAGGGCTCCTGATACCTATGTTAGAGTCCTGTCTGGAAATACTTGTGTGTTCCAAAGAGGAGAATACAAAGAAGTAGGAGACGCTATTGTTCCACTTTTACCAGCGAAGCTCTTCATTCGGAGGACAAGAGAATCCGAGTCTTTCTCTTTATAATTTCAAGGAATAAAGCATAAATATCCGCACAGATCATGCCAACGGGGCAATGCACATCAAGTCACCGTTCTCCACGTCCTACACTTACCCACCCACACACTTTGGGGCCCAGTACACTCTACAGATCAGGCGAGCAGCGTTGTAAATATTTCCATGCACAAAGCTTGCTGTTTCCAAAGACAGGCATGGCTTAGCATGCCATTTCTTTCTTTAGAACTTTTAGGAGCAATTATGACCTGGGGATAGAAGGATGGTAAAGCAAAGGTATGTGCCTGTAACAAGCATTTCATTGAAATTAGCAGCAAGATGTGTGGGTTCATGGGATGGATAACCACAGAGTATAGATTGATAACTTGTAGCGATAAGTAGAAAAACTTACAAAGTAAGGCAATGCTATGCTGGTTACCTGCCCAGTTCAGGAATACAAGAATAAACAGGATCTTTTCCCACCCAAAGTGAACGGATATTACACAGGACAATACGAATCTGCAGCAAGAGGCAGTGGTAGGTACAAGCCTCACAATCCAGGGTGCCAAGCATTTTTTCCAGGAGGTGTGTGCGCTTCTGTAACATAAATGTAATTTGAGAAAGGGGCCGCTGCGCTTTCCTTGTCTCTTTCTAACAAAGTAGTAATTGTTAACAATTGAAGAATCATCACTCCTCTCTTGGCAGTTTGCCAGCTCAGCAAGAGACAGTATCAATTTTCAGATCTTATCTTTCTTAGTGGTCCACTTCTTAATCCATTTCAGGAATAGAGTTCCCTGGTTTTCTTTAAGGCAAATGAACCCCCTTAGAGGACCATGGAAGTGTTCCCCTCCATCCCCCCCCAAACTGAAAGCCAGCTTGTTTCCTCCCCCACTTCCAACCAGGTTGTTCTGCTACGCTTGGGTTTTGTTTCTGAATGTAGAAACAGTTACTAAATGAAAAGAAGAGGCCTCGGGACAGGAAAGCATGAAATTTCAATGGCTGACAGCCAGGCGACTTTGCCATGGAGAGGGATCCACATCCTTCATGTGTGGCTGCAGCTAGATTAAGGCTAGCACCACACACACCGTTAAAACACCACTTATACAACACGGCCTATAATGAAGTGAGTGCTGTGACCAGTTGCTTAGAACTTAGTGGTATAAACCTAATTGATGGAGATTTTTTTTCCCTGGCTCCTCGCACTGCACAGTAAAGACATTCACTCTGTTGATGTTTGTTCTAAGGGTGTACAAGTTGGGTATGGTATGGTTAAGTCAGTGTGGCTCTGGAGGAGATGAGAACAAGGCTTGGCAGGGGCAAGCTGATTATACTCGGCGTCCCAGAGAGAAGGTCACTGCGTGCCACACGGGGTCACAGAGGAAAACACCAGTGTGGTCAGGAGACAGAAGACAGGAGTGAGGAGAAAGCCGAGGCCATAACCTTACTTGGGATTTCCCTGGGAAAGGCAAGGCAGAGCAGGGTAAACAGCTTAAGGCTGGCTCGTGTTAAGGATTCTGGTGGGCTACGGGCTCCAGCAGTGCTCTCTAGTTGTACCTGGCCCTGGAGCAATCTGGGGCAAGGGAAATGTGGGTGTTCCATGTGAGAGTTAGATAAGGAGGCGGTTGGGGATATAAACTTGGGACTGGTTCGCTTCCATTTGAAAGGCATACTCGTGGGCAAGTTGTTATGATCTCTAGGAATTAGCTAGCCCTGGGAGGGGCAGTTTCTCTCTGGCTCGGTGAGGCCCCAAATGTCAAAGCATCGAGAATACAGAAAACGTAGTTAACTGGCTCTGTGACGAAGGGATGCCAAACAGACAATACAGAATCTAAGAAGACGCAAAATAATGTATCTATTTAAATACGACCCTTGCCTGGGGCAGCATAGTGGGGGTCTTAGAAAGTCTGAGTCCCCAGCATGCTTTAGTGCAGCTCCTTCGTTCTTTGATCAGGACAACTGATGTTTTCTGTCTTAGATAACATGCTATGCAAACATACTTCAATCCTCGCATCTAACCTGCCTGCCTCCCTAACCCCATATATGAGGAGGCTCTAGGATCATTACAGCTCGTGATAACATTCGTCTATGACTGTGGTTTAAGGGACCTCTGGCCTGAGCAGTGATCGTGCCTCTACTGCATTCACAGCAAGGAGAAAACAAGCATCCGGGTGATGGGACACGGACGCTGGGGTTCTGCCTCCTCACTTTGTGAACTACGTATTTCTCCTATTCAGGGAGAGGCAGCCCATGGCCATCTGACACCTACCACCTGCCAGGCTGGTGGGCCTGCCTCCGGAGCCTCCCAGCTGGTCGTGCTGCACCATGGCAGCCTGGTCTTCTGAGGCCCCCTGACCCACTCTGCGTCGAGGCCGTGCACGCTTGGCATGAGGTCTTACCGCCTCAGCTAACTACAAAGTACAGCATCACCCTCCCTAGCTTATGTGCCGCTCAGGCTCAGCAGGGCTGTGTTTGCAAGAGATTTAAGTGTTGAGAGATGGGCTCTTTCCCAAGGCTTCTCTCCTGATGATCCTACTTTGCCATGTAATGTTCTGGGTGGACTGTAAGGGATACTAATGAAATAGGTTCAAGGAAAGTGATATTACAACGGCGGCAGGGTCCAAGTCTCACAGTCCTGGAAGCCGATGGGACATTAGTGCTTCTTGGCAGGCCATCGGTTTAGTTTGGAGCTTGATGTCGCATTCATTCTCCTGGCTGCCAGTCTCCTCAAGGAAATATTGACCTTCTCGTTTTAGTTTTCTATATTTCATTAGTTGTTCATCATTGGATATCAGAATTAAAGGCCCATTGGCCAAGTATTACCAATAGAACTCGAGTTGTTTTCAGTTTTTCTGGTACATTTTGGTAGATGACCAAGCCATGGATTTGGTGTTCCCTTCTCTCTTCTCATTCCTTTTTGGAAAGAGTTTAGATGGGCTGGGGAAAGATATTTGAAGCTCTCTGATCCAATGTAAATGAATCCTGTGGTGGGTAAATAATTTTCCTCCCTCCTTTGCTCTCCTGGGGTATTTTGATGAATAATGCTTCTCAAATAAGCTTGTAAGTATTCCCCCAGAGGTAAGAAGGGTATTAAGCTCATAGCAGGTGTGCCATTAATGCTTCAGTGTGTAGGGTAGAGCAAAGAGGAAAGGAATCATCAAAACCTTGTGGTTTCAGAGAATTTTCTGGAAAGTTTTGAAGGCCACAGCTGGGAACAAAATACTGTGGGGCAGCGCTGGTGAAGTGTGGGTACAGCCTCACAAGATCAAGTCAGGCCGTCCCTTCAATGTCAGATTTCTACGGATGGGTGGTAGGCTGGGATTTACGGTTTGTTTTGTGGCCAGTTATAGCACATGCTGATCTTAACTCAGACACACAGCATAATTACTCACTCAACCTCACCCCCCAAAAATTATTTTTTAATTTTCTTCCTTCCTGCCTCCCATTATTTGAAAGTCCAGTTCACAAACTACACAACTCTAGTCTAAAAGCCTTCTTTAAAATAATAAATATCACTGAGAACATTCTCTTTAGAGGCTATTGCGATGAACTTCAAATATCATTCTCTCCAATGTATTCTGTTACACTTTACCTGTGATAACTCAATTATAGCTTTAGTTTCTTTCTTTGACTGGCCTCAATGCCCCATGGTTTTAAACAAAACCCTCCAGAATAGTGAGGAAATTTCTTACTGCCACAGCGCCACCTACTGGCAGGCTATTACAGAAGCAAGCTAGGAGTAGCTTAACTTTGACCCACAGTTTGGAGACTCCTGAGCTCTGGTTTTACAAAATGCCAATTTCCTTGTCATTTTGAGAAACTATCGCTTCTCTTGATAGCTAGTAAGCCTCTTGCTGTGGCATAAAGTCAGCAAGTTATAATAAAAAAATATGCTCTTATTCTTACTGTTACCTTAAATTGGCCCTGACTTCACCGACTTTGATTTTCTCTGTCCTATAACTGTAGCAAGGGCTCCAGATTGTGTGGGCAAGGGTTTGGATCTGGCGAAAATAACCTGGGGAGCTTCCAAAGGTCCTGAAAAATGTAAAAAAAAAAAACAACAAAAAAACAAAAAAAAAATCCCTACTTAACACTTTATTTGATCTTGGTGAAAGGACAAGAGGTCAAATCTAAAACTAGGTTTCAGGATAGGACAAAAACCAGACAGAAGACTAGCCAGGGACACCAGGCCCAGAAAAGCGCCTCGTATCTAGCATTAGGTGGCGGGCGACAGAAGGAACCAAAGAAGGAAAGAGAAGGCTGAGAAATACATTGAACATAAAGAAAGGAGAAAACACCTCTGTGTATTTCAAGAAAACAAAACAAAACAAGGCTTTAGGGGATCACTGTTTGCCCAGATGCTGATGCTCCATTTCCGGCCAAACACCAAACCTGTGCCCTTTGCTTTCTAACACCATAAGAGTACGTAAACCCAAATTCTTATCCCTCTGGCTCTGGGAAGAGAAGAACGTTTTGGGAGTAACAAAGGATGTGAGACACTAGGGCAAGCATCTTAAGAGCTTTATTCATTTTCACTATTAACTTCTTATATTCCAGATCCATCCAGGATCTATAACAACTAGATAACGCTTGGTGAAAAGAATAAGAATCTGATAATAAAAAGAGATCATTCTGCTGAGAATTGCCCAGCAAATCATTTCGCTTGAAAGTTAAAGTGACTTCTAGATCCTCAGAGTTTAAGGTCCGCTGGGTTTACTTTCTATTAAAGTAAGTTCCTTTGTCTTGTATTACAGGGAGGCAGGGAGGTGGGCGGGCAGAGGCACACTGATGGGCTGCTGCCCCAGCCCCATGCAAACAAGGAGGATAAAGCTAAAATGTATGTTTTATCAAGGCCCCAAATAGCAAATATTTAACAAGGACACTGTTGCTCACTTCTTGTAAATGAAATCCAGCATTGGTGTTCAAAGAATCTTTCCACCAACTCCAGACCAGTAAGAGCTTTTTAAACAAAACAAAACAAAACAAAACAAACAAACTGGGGTGGGGGGCAGATAGAGGCCGGGCTCCAGGACAGAAGAGGCGTAGGCAGAAGCTAGGGCCAGGGATGAGGGCAGCTGGTATGGCCTCAGACCTTGCAAGAATGGTAGTTTACGCTATGAAGTCCGCATGAGAGAAATGCCAGTTATCTAATCTGGTACTCTCTGCTATTTTAGTTCCCCATCACCACTTCTAAACTCCAGAACGCCATGGTTATAAAGAACGAAGGCCAATGGCTTTGGCTTTGAGCCAAAGGCCCTCGCTCTAGCTTCCTTCTCAAATTTCCAAATTTGCTGACTCTACGTCTTGCCTCCCATAGCAAACTCAGAATATATAGCCTGAGGTAGGGAAGTCAAGGAAAAAGTCACATTCATGGAGCATTCCAGACCTTTTGCTAGCAGCTTTCATGTCCACTACCTCATTTAACATCCACACTTAAAAGACTGTCACTAGGTCACCATCAGTGGGGAAGGATTCTGAGTTGTTTTTCAACAGAGCCCTGGGATGAACCAGTATCTCAGTCAGGCGCCCAAGGAACAAAGTCACACAGCTTTAAGACCTGGTTGGCTAGACTTGCAGAAGAGTCAAGGGGCCAGGAAACAGACTTTTGCTATATTCGTGGACTCAATAATACCATGTTTAACCAACTGAGTTAACTGGACCAGACAGGGGCTAAATACCTTTCAAAGTCAGCGTAGCGATTCCTGTAGAGGCACAAACTTCCTATCTCTGAGAGCCATATAACTGACTTATTACAGGGGCTACTCTCCCTTCTTCTGGGTTTAAAGAAAAATGTCTCTAATAGCTACCTAACCTTTTTATAGGACAGCCTTCTGAACCCCTAGACTAACACCTTTAAATCTGTGTGTCATACAGAAAAACGCATGATTTGTAGCTGAAACACTCAAGTGCCAGGTAGTTACTTACGAGCTGTATAAATAACTCTAACAGGGTTAGTTACTATTATACCGCTAAGGCAAAAACGTTTATTGGGAAGTGTGGAAAATGCCTGAGACTCGTGTACCAAGTTCATCAGTGTTTCTTTAACTGAGGATCGGGAACACCAGGAAAATCACAGACTAGAAATGAATTCAAGGCACTTGAGAGGTCCAGAGTCAATGGAGATAAAAGCAGTGAACAGCTGGCTACCTAAACAAGGCGAAAAAAAATAATGCACTTGTCTTAAAGTAGAAGCAGAGGGAAAAGGGAGATACTAGAATCCGGGGATTCTATTATACAATATACAGTATACAACCTTTATATAACTAATATACAACTTTTCTCTTTGTTCTGCGGTTTTAGGCTGACGCTGCGTTCATTACAATGATTACAAAATCTCTAACACATAACTTCAGCAGTCAATAAATATTAATTCATAAGCGAGATGCTGAGAGTATGACCCACCTGGACCCTCAAATTTCCAACTTCCCTGGCCAGAGTCTATGCAGAACATTCAGTTTTGTACTTAATGTGTTAGTTAGACCTGCAAATACCAGTAGGCAGGTTTCCTGGATCTCCTATGCTTTGCAAACCTCTCTGGCTGCAGCAGTTTGTGGACAGATATATTCAGCTGTGCATACAGTGCACAGTTCTCCCGGCCGCCCACTTCCCAGGCTGCGCCACTTCCAGGGGGAAATGTTCATTCCTTAAAAATAACTACCATATCCTAGTCATTCTTTTTGGGGGGAGGGGAGGGGCAAGTAGATACCCATCAACTATTTCTTGAATTCGGGTTCTAAAATATTAAGCAGAGAACGAAGTCTTTATACTCTTACAACCTGATGTGGGTGTGGTTATAGAGCTTTTCTCTATATATGGCTTCCTTGAACCCCACAGTAAGCCGGAGGTGTGCGTAATTCTCCCTGTGATACAGTCTAACCAGGCTTCTTAGAGATCTGGCATCATGTTAAGGTGTATTATGTTGCACGCACACCCCTCATCCCTTGGCTCTAGACTCCCTGACGGCTCCTTATTGCACTCAGGACCAAGTTCCCTACACGGCTCGCAAACCAGCCCTGCTACCTCCGTGACCTCTCTCTTGCTGCTCCCTGCTCGTGCCCTAGTCCCCTGCCACAGTGACACACGAGGGCTCCCAGAACACGGGGCATTTTCACCCCGCCCCCGACTGTGCAGTATTGCTCCCTCTTCCTGGCACTCCTTTAGTCCCGCACAGCTGCCCCCCCCCCCCCCTTCCCGCCGGCAGACATGTCAACGTTCAACCCTCCGCCTAGATGTTTCTGCCTCCAGAAAGCCCTCTCTAATCCCTTAAGAGCCTGGGCCAGGTCGCTCGGGTTCAAATACTGCCCCACCATTTACTAGCTGTGAGATGTTAGATATGTTTCATAATCTGTGCCTTTATTTCTTCAGCTGTAAAACAGGGAACACAGTTCCTATTATATGCCTGTTTTGTAGACAAATGAGTTGTTACATGTGAGGCATTCAGAACTGTGCCGGGCACAGCGGGTGTTCCGCCAACCGTCTATGGTTATTCTCTGCATCCCCAGGACCTGACACTTACCCACCCTGCAGCCCCGCTCCCTGCTGACTCTCCTCTTTTCCTAAGTCTGTAAGTTCCCTGACAGGAGGGATGGCCTGGTCCACCCTTTATGTCCCTCAGCTGACATCTCATTCTCTCCACAGTAGGTATTCAATAATAAGTATTTGTTGAACTGAATCCAAGTGATTTTCTTTTAGTTTTCTGATTACTTATCAGTATATTCTTACGAGTTAGTACTCACAGAAAACTATGCCTGGACCAATGTTGCCTGACTTAGATGTGGATACCTACACGAGAGGTTTTAAAAAGACCTCAGTAAGCACCTGGCAATGGATCAATATAGGCCATTACATTAGCATGACAGGGACTATGATCGAAGACCAGAGCTCCATTGTCCTGAAGAGTGAGGGAGAGACACTACCGGTGGGAATACGATATGAACAGTGAAACACCGGTCAAATACCAGCCTAAATGCTGCAAATCTGATAGCATTCTCCCAGACCAAGGAATGTCATCTACCCTGAACTAGTTCTGGAAAACCATTCCATCCTAAAGTGCCCATTTGCCAATGCTTCAAAAGCCTGGATGCTTCCTCGTTCTTTGAACTGCAGGTTTCTTCGGAGGCAGAAGACAGAATATGCCCAGCCCAGCACCCTCCCTGTCGTCCCAGCCGCGGAAGAGCTGGTGTGTCCACTAACCTGTGGAGCTGGTGATGGGCACAAAGGCTGCAGAGTTAAGGCTGCTCTGGAGTCCATTCAGCTGCCCTTCTGTGGACCCTCTGAAACACAAGCAGCTTGGTTAGATCAGCAGATAGAAAGGTTAGATCAAATGCAGGCCCTCCAATGGCTTTGCCTCTCGCTCTCGGTGTTCTCTGTCACATGGCTCATTCCCTTGCTTCTTTCAAGACTTTGTACAAATGTCATCTTAGCAGAAAGGACTCCTGTGACCAACTACCCCGTCTTCTGAAATATTACATATATTGAAGTTTGTTGTACATCTCTCTCCACTGGAAGGTAATTGCAAGAAAGCACAGGCTTGGACTACTGCTGTGTCTCCAGTGCCTGGCACCTAATAAGCGTTCAACAAATATTTCTTTACTGAATGAATAAATGAAATTTCCAGTATTGACTTGGATAAATTATAAGTAAAGGCATTAAAAAAAAACAAAACAAAAAACCCCACCAAGGTTCATGTAGACCAGCGGTTCTCATCTGAGGTAGAAAGGAGGGACAGACTTTGTCCCCACCCCCACCCTTCCACAAGGGACGTTTGGCAATGTTGACACATTGTTGTAACAACAGCGAGGTCTATTGGCATCTGGTGGGTAGAGGCCAGGGATGGTGCTAAATATCTCCTAAAGTGCACTGGGAGGTGCCCCCAAAGGATTTTGTAGCCCAAGATGTCAATAGCTGAATTTGAGGGGCACCCGGGTGGTTGTGTCGGTTAAGCGTCCAACTCTTGATTTCGGCTCAGGTCTCATGATCTCATGGTTCATGAGTTCAAGCCCCACATCGGGCTCCACGCAGACAGTGTGGAGCCTGCTTGGGATTCTCTCTCTCTTTCTCTCAAAATAAATAAACTTAAAAAAAAAAATAGCGCTGAAGTTGAGGAACTGTTATATAGAGGCCCCCCCCCCCCCGCCCCCATGCCAACTTTGACAAGAGACAGGACAGAGTAAATTGGATGCTTTGGGCACAGGTTACCCAGCCACATGTCTTAGAAATTCTATGACTAGCTTGATGCCCTACAGACCATGCTGGATCTCCTCACTACAGGCTCTTACAGATCTGTAATTCTTTCATTGCATTTACCAAAACTGTAATTACGGGATTGTGTAACTGGTTGCTTAATATCTGTCATCCTTGCTAAAAAGTAAGCTCCGTAAAGGCAGAGATTATATCAGCTCGTTCACTGTTGTAGCCATAGCTGTTAATATTGCACTTTGCACAGATCAGGTATCTAATAAATATTTAAAAAAATAATCTGATCCATTGCCCCACAAATACAAATTACTTGTTGGACCCATCTACCTTGATTTTAGTTGACGTGTAAAAATTTTACTTTGTAAGACTAAAAGTTTCATACACTCGGTTCTTTATTTCTTGAGCAGCAATCAATCCAACCTTTAGAACCCTTCTCCTGACACTGTTTGTCCATTTATTCATCCATGCAAAAAGTATTCCATGCTTGGTACTAGTGAGGAGGCAGATATTAGGCAAAGACATAAGGGACAAACTATGTGATAAATGCTAAGGAGAAACAGCACGAAGTGTTTTTAAAAAAAGAATGAAACAAGGGAACCTCATTGAGATGTGACACCGGTGGTCAAGGATGGTCTTTCTGAAACTGTCGTATTTCAGCAAAGTCATGAAGTTAGGAGAAGTAGCTATTGGCCAAGAGTAGGGATCAGGAAAGAGCTTTTTGTGGAGAAGAAATAGAATATATGTATAATGATCCTGAGGCAGAAAGGGGTTTAGAATGTCCGAGGAGTTTTAAAGACCAGCAAGATGGAGGGATGGTCAAGCAGTGTTTGTCAAATGTCCTTGACAGGAACCACCTGGGGTCACTTGTTAATCACACAGCTCTCCAGGCCCTTCCCTTAGAGATTCTGACTCAGTGGGTCCGGGATAAAGTGTGAGAACCTAGGCTTTTTATAGCTCCCAGGTGTCCAAGTGACTTGTATCAGCAGAGAAGTGAGGAAAACGTTGACTAGTGGGCAAAGGGGAAGGTGATGCGAAGAGCACTTGGAGACGCTGGCAGACGCTTAGGTGCCCAGGGGGTTCCCCCCCCCACTCCTCCTCACTGATGGAGAGCACACCCCAGCAGTGATGCAAGGATCACACTCTCTTGGACCCCTTCCCCTCCAGCAAGCTGTGATCGCGGCCCCACCACTCCTTTCCACTTTCATTGGAGGACAAGGGAATGGTAGAGACAAACAGGAGAGAAAGGAACACAGGGAATTCTCCCTTGTCCCACAAGCCTCAACCTTGAATAGCTACATGGGGAATGCTTATCCATTGTATTTCAGCCCTTTATAGACCCAAAGAACTACCCAAAGCATCTCTAGCTGATATTGGCTCTTCCAGGTCCAAGCGAAAAAGGGAAAGTTCCAGAACCTAGGATGGGCTCTTTCCTCTACAGAGGTTAAAAACCCTTAGGGCCATTTGCCTGGGTTAGGGGCAGCCGCGTCAAGAAAAGCCACGAAGCCGGTCTCAGTATGGCGCAGAACAGCAAAAGGGAACCAGGCAGGCGAAATAGCAGAGCCAGTAGAAGAAACAAAAGCAGCAAACAAGGAGCTACCCGAGGGAGAACAGAGTCCCTGGGTGTTTAGAACTAGTGAGTCTGGATCCTTAAACTCCTTCTCCTCTCTTCTCCTCCCTGAAATTCTTTTCCTCTTTTCCCCCCTTCTCTGGAATTCTTATCCCACCGTTCACCTTCATGGGCTGGCTCCTGTTCCTCTCCCTCTGTCCATCCCCTGTCACTCTTCCACCCTGCCTTCTCCATCAACTCCCATCACAGGCCTTGGGAGCCACTGCTGACTCAAACTTCGAACACTTCTTTTTTTTTTTCAACTTTTTTTTTTTTTTTTTTAATTTATTTTTGGGACAGAGAGAGACAGAGCATGAACGGGGGCGGGGCAGAGAGAGAGGGAGACACAGAATCGGAAACAGGCTCCAGGCTCCGAGCCATCAGCCCAGAGCCCGACGCGGGGCTCGAACTCACAGACCGCGAGATCGTGACCTGGCTGAAGTCGGACGCTTAACCGACTGCGCCACCCAGGCGCCCCAAACTTCGAACACTTCTAATGAGCCTACTGTTTCTAGCACAGGCGCCCCATTTCCCCCCGCGGTGGAGAAATGTGTCCAACAGCCATTCAAGAGGAAATTCAGAGTGGACTTTTCCATGAAAACACTGGTACACAAAGTGGTTTGGGTCTATGTTATTACTACTTCAGGCACATCGTGGGTAAATACGCTTTTGTCATGCAAGCATCATTTCCCTGGGAAAATACATTCCAGCCTCTGGTCAACCCACTCCTAAGTGAGAACTTTTGAACCACAGCTTACTTAGGGCGCTTGTTGATCTGCTTCTGCGATAATTCTTTGCAGCTTTCCTGGGAGTGCCTGTGTTTTAGGAACTCCTTATGTAGTCAGCTGCTTGTCTGAGTCAGTTACTGTCCTTTAACATTAAGTTACCACGACCTACCTCGTAGGGTTGTTGAGGATTAAGGAAGATGGCGACTGTAAGGCACATCTTAGCACGGTATCTAGTATTATATCAATGGCTAAACAAACATTAACTTTTATTGGAATTGGTATTTTTACTTAGAATTGCTAACCATCCTTGCATTCACTATAAGCTTATCCACGTACAGAAATATTAAGTCGGGTGACGCAGTGACTCTGACTGAATATGGAATGTGGGTGCTAAATAGGAGAATGTCCACAACATACTCAGAACCTGGAAGTTAACAGCAACTTGCTATTAAAGTCAAAAGGTAGTCAACTGGTGGCCTATGAGGCAGAAATCTCATGGTCACAACTACTCTTAAACTCTCTTAGAAGAGAGGTCTCATTTGAGATCGACAAACTACCTCTCGATAAATCTAATATACACATTTTTCAGTATCAGAATGAACCACCGTTTCTTCAACTGTGCACCAAATGAAGCAGCTGGCTTGTCATAGAACACATGTCTTTCAGCATGAGAATTACACACGGCACAGAGGATGTCCGTCCTACACAAGAGGCTCATGGGAAATGAGACTGATGGGAGAAACGATGCGCCTCCCAGCTCTCCCCAAGAAGAACATCACACGGAGTCGGCCGCCACTGAAACCATACAGTCTCTTTCTCTCTGAAGAGCTGAACGTGCAAAGCTAAATGTGTGTTTGGTGCAGCTCTGTTACCTGCTGTTTTCCGATCATGGAACATATGGAATATGAAGACCAAAAGATGAACTCAGGAAAGTGCCTTATAAAAGTATTGAGTTTTGCAGTGAGGAATACCGAAAAGATGGGACAAGACAGGTGCCGTTAATTTTACAACATACAAAAGTTAGAGTTTAAACCAAGGAGAGTGCTAGATGTGACCATGCAGTCCCGTAGTGTTCCATAACTGCTCTTCTTGGAAGTGGTATAGGTTCCAGAAGACAGCAGAATAGGAGATATAGCCCAGGGTTGGGAGTTTGAGGCTTCCTACAACCTCAACTGTGGTGATGGGCTTAGTTCAGACTCTTCTCCACACAACGAACCGTGTTATTATCAAAAGCTGCCGAAGGGCAGGCTTCCCGGTTACCAGAGCCACGTCAAAACTGAAACAAGATATGATGTAGCCATGAACAGGAGCACGCTAGTCGCAACCAAGAATTCTAATTAGAAGAATTCCATTAATAATGACATGCTTTTTTCAACGAAGGCAGATTCTTTCCTTGGGATGTGTTCATGGCTAGTACCCGAAGAGTTTCCTTACGTATTAAATGTTTACTTTCTAACCCGGGATTCAAGTCACTTGCTCCACTCCCACTTACTCCTTTGATCTCTTGCCTTTTCCTGAAGTCCAAGAAAAGGCCTGACATGGGCATTATTTCTACCCTGAGTAAGGAAGAACAGCCTTCCTGGGCCTCTCAAAGACATTGTTCGGGAATGCATTACAAGTAAATAGTATCCCTACAAGCCGAAATAGTGCCTACATTTATTATTGAAAGATGTCTCCTAGTACCGGTCTCTACTTGGGAAATAAATGCCAATCAAACAGCTGGCTAGGAATGCCACTGGCG